AATCAAATTCAAAAAAAAATTTCAAGCTAGATTGTAGCCACAGCTGCCCTGTGGATCACTGCCAAATAAACCACCATCAGTAGGAAATGTGAGCAAAGATTCTTACCTACGCACACAACAACAATATTGACAACAACCCTTTGAACCCATTTCAGGGCAAACTCCTGCTTGTACTGCCACTGTTGCCCCCAACATCTTATTGCTAAAAGGGATTATCATTTTTGAAGCACATTTGAGACGTCCTTTGTGGTGTGGTACTTAGTCAGCAGATGTTTTGGCCTGTGAAGACCCCAGTGGATGCCCAGTCATTTCATATTTTTTGAATCATAAACGCTTTTGGGTTTTTTTGTTGAAACGATAGTCTCCGTTTTGTTGAGGAAGGAGTGGTGACGAAGTGGCTCAACTTGTGCCCCAAGTAAAGCTGTATATAAAAGCGGTTTATTTAAAAAATAAATATTTACATCTGTGATACCTATCTACTATATATTGTTTGTCAATTGGTACCAAGTTTTACTACAGCATGTATTTAATGTATACCCCATCCTGACTGGCTATCCCTTTCTGCCTGCCAACACTTTTCACCCTCTTTATATCTTCCTGAGCATCCCTCTTTCCTCCCCCTCGGCTGTTACTATCCGACCATTCTTGTTGAATCTGAATGTGTACTCTGAAGCCAGAACCACGTGCTTGTCCCCCCCCCCCCCTTTTTTTATAGCTCTAGACCGTTTGTTTTATTTATCTGACAGACGTCCCCCCACATTGTCCAGGGTTATCAGCGCTCTCCTGCAGATCACGTTACTGCCTGTGTGAGTCTCTGACCCATCTCAGGGTTCACCTTTAAATCTGATTCTTATCATTTCCTCTGTGATAAATAGGCATGGCTTAGAGGGAGATTACTTTGCTCGTCCTGTTCCCCTTTTCCCACTGTCAACAGCGCTTGCCACTGGGCCCCAAGCTGTCATCCCAGTCTCAGTCTGAGGAAGGCAAATACTCAACTCTGTTCCTCTAAAGATTTGGTGACTTTAGAAATAAAGAGGAGGGCTAGTGTTGTTCCCATGTGAATAGTCTCTTATCTCCAGTGGGCGTCCTTAAAACCCTCTTCCCACTCTGCATTACTCCTGTGAGAGTTAGTCAGCACATCGTCATACTGACAACTGAGCTTCCACATTGATTTTTCACACGGTTCTTATCTAAGCCAATACTTTTGAAAAGTTTTTTTTTCTTTTGCTTTGTTTTGTTTGCTTTGTTTTCAACTATCAAAAAAAGGTGTCACTTCAGATAGTATGTCCCAGTCTACATTCCAGTTCAGTCATCTTCTAAGAGTCTGTCTCAGACTCTGCAATCGTAGAGCCCAAACATTTCTGCCAATCCTTCTTCATGCAAAGACTCAAGCTCAGTTGGATTAGATTCTGTTAAAAACAATTTCAATTCTAACCACAAATTCTTAAATAATCTGTCTATTGATTGGGTCAAACTGACATGCTTTGATGTGATCTATTTCACTGGAGCTGCAAATGTATGTTTAGTTTTCCTCCCGAAGAAATACCCCATAAATCAATCATCTACTGTTCTTTATATTACTTGCCTCTATTTAGCTCAAATTATCTTCCTATCAGCTCTGATGACCATCCCTGTCCCTGCTTAAGAGAAGCATTCCCATAAGATACTGTTGTCACCACAATGAATGAAGAAATATTTAAGTCCACAAATTTCCCACCAAACCTCTGAATCTTCGCAGCGTCTCCAGATCTGACTTCTTCCCTAATTGGTCAAGGCCTCTGTTTATAAGAGAATGTGAATGTAACAGCCTTTCAATGTTAAAAAAATTAGAGAGCTTCAAATCTTAATCTTGCTTCAAATGCTTCAACAACTCCACCCCAAACTCTCTAAAAATATAATTATCCCAATTTAAAATGAAAATAAGCTCCACACTGGACTTCACTGGCTTATATGTATAGCTATGAGATTAAAATTCATATCACATACGGTATTTCAGATTTCCATTTGTAAAACATTTAAAATAATGTAGGCTATCATTTTCTTCTACTTCACAGATTAATATTACGTTGTATGTCCACCTCAGAATTGGACAAAACCATTAGATTTTCATAAATACATTTCACTTTTTGTGTTGAAATGCGTTTATAACTGAAACAAGGCCTACTAGCAAGCAATCAAAAAAACATATATACCTGGAGACAGCATGTGAAGCAGTGGTCAGGGATTCTCAGTTTGATTGATGGTCACTAACAGCCAATCCTACCATTTGCCTTTGGGAAATATGGAATTCATTATTCAGTTTCCCATATGGGGTCAAAGGTTAAACTGGGACAATGATAAAATTGGGGAATCGTTTGCTTTGGAGAGCATATGGGGGATGAAAGGCGGCACGTTGACTAACAGCTGGCTTCTCTCACCTATATCATGCGGACAGCTTTAATAGCGGTGAACTAAAGGGACCGGGTTGATGGAGGATGCTCATGTTAGCCCTCGGTCGCAATTTCTAACCCAGGTTCACAATCTTTAGGTAAACATTTCCATGAATGCATGTGTTTGGCCATATTCATCAGTGTGAGACTCCCCAGCTGTCTTCATGAAACCTGAACACAGCCTATGGACAGTGCTCTGGTGGTCTTTCTAAAAGGAAGTCATATGGCAGATGGCTCTTGTATATTGTTTTAGAAATCACATATTCATACATCAGATAATGGAATTCCACCTCGGAAACAAAGCTAAGACTAATATAAACTTACAGGTAACATATTTCTATTAAGATCTTGGTTATTTATATTTGACTAAGCATTTAGATTTCTTTGTCCTATTTGGTAAAGTTATGAAGTAAAATAAAAAAATGCAACCACAACAGATCTGGAATATTTTTCCCTCCATCATAATTGGGCAGTCACTTAATAAGGGAAAAGCGCAGCACTAATGATGATAGATCCAACACCCAAGGCCCTCGAGAACAATAACTCAGAGAATCCCATCCTACACAGTGACCTCTTGACCTTTCTTAGGCCACACAGCAAAGGAAATCTATAAGCAGGCTCAGAGCCAGAAGTGACCAGTCTCTAAACTGACTGGTCAGTGAGCATTAGAGCCTGTTTGCTAGACAAACAGGCTACAGCATACCAACCTCACAGCTGGAGAATAATCCCATTGGAAACCTCCTGGATATCTGGACTATGTCAATTAGAAGAGCTGTAAGATATGCAAATCTTTCTAAAAGCTAATGAAGCACAATCTTATTTCACAACAGGCTGAAAGTTCTTCTAAAGAGACAGAAAGAGACAATTTTAAAAGAGTCTCTGTGTTTCTCTGTGGGAAACTTGTCATCTTTGAACTCTGTGGGGTTCCATCGCTGCTCCTCAGCAACCGCTGTGAATTTTCTCTCTTTTCTATATGTGTTTGCAATTAATCCGCCTTGTATTCTCAAGACATGCTGTTTAGATGTGTTAATCTTTAATGCTCATACAATTTGGCTTGATTACTAGTGATTTTATACATTTCAGCATTAGGTTCAAATAGAACAAATCACAGGATATCTTGCCTAATTAGATGTGTTTCCATAAACTTTAATCTTTGATGCACATTTTGAAAAATCAAACCAAAATGTCTTTGAGCTTGCTTGAGGTGCTTTTTTTACTTTTACAAAGAAAAAAAAAGAGGAGATGGAAACATATTATATTTACGTCACATGACTGTTCAACTCTTTCCACTGTGACTGTCCCAGTAGAATATAAGGAAGAAATACAGTATCATTGGATTCTTCTTTTTTCTACACCGAATTTTCAACAACGAATTTTTTTTGCACCAAATTTTAAACACTGATTATTTTTTTACACATTCAATTCCGTACACGGAATTTTTATATAGTGAAAATTCAATAAAAAAAATGCAGCTGCAGAAAATTCTCCTGCAAAAAATTTGCCTCCAAAAAATTTGCCTGCAAAAGATTCGACTGCAAATGTGTTGACCTTTTGGTGAACTCAAGCCAAAGCAATCTATTCACTGGCTAAAAGCAGAGCAGCTTCTAGCCAATGAAATTAGCTCATTTGGTATGAAAAAAAAATAAGATAGCCACCGGCTGCTTCTTCCAGATTAAACCAAGAGCCTTCGCAGACAGGGGTGCCATGCTACCTGTGATCAGCTTAATTATTTTACTCAGTCCGATTAGATGAAAAATTCTATTGGCTGTCTACTAGTAGAAACCTGACGTCTTGTAATCATATCTATTTAACAAGATAAAATCCTTATTCAGCTTCATTCAGCCGGGAACAAAGCTATGCCCAACTGTTGTGTAGGGTGGCCAATTCCATAGCAGCAAAAAGGAGGACATTGTGCGGCATATCAATAAATTACTAAGGTGTACATAAGAATCGGATAAAGTCACATTTATAGTACAATTCTTAGTAGTTTTAAGAGGATGCTTGTGTAGCTGAATAGAACAAAATATTTAAAAAATGTAAAAAAGAATTGGTTGCCAGCATTTTTATTTATTTAATACATTGTGGTGTTTAAAAAGTGCCCACCGAGATGAATCTTTAAAGTGCAGAATACCACAAAGCATAAGATGTGTGGACTTAAACGTTAAAAAAATCTTTATAACAAGAAAGATTCATAATAAAATAGCCTAATATTATTTTTAAACAAAAAAAGAGATTGTAGAAAACACATTCAACTGCTCTAAAAGAATAGCTTGATTTTTAAGAGCCTCAGTCTTTTGGGAACTTATCTTAAGTGTCTGTGTGTGCAGCAGACCTGTCTTTATGGTCATCCCTTTAGCTATGGGCAAATCACTGAAATCCACTTTCATGTCACAGTCTATACTTCCATAGGACTAGTGATGTTCTATAGTATAGTCCACCTTGCAGCTCTGCACAAGTTATTTTAGCATCCAGGGGCGACAAAACTTAATGTAAAAGCCAACATTGAAGAGTTCAATGCTGCACGTTTATTACTTTTATGTTAATCCATACTCGTATGCCGTTCAATTGCAGCTTTTCTACGACTGCTTACGCCCACATCGCATCGACAAAGTGGCAGAAACCATGGAATGAATCTCCACTACCTTTGGTAATAAATTCATTATCTTTTGTCCATTCTGGGTTAAACGACGTCCTGGTTTTGACAGGACGCTAACTTTAACACTTAGCAACAGTAATTCTGATTCTACTTTTGTAACCAATGACAAGCAGATCTTTATCTGACACGCCGCCACTCTTAGCCAATCATCTGTTAGATCAGATAGTGATGCATTTTTGATGATTGGATATTGTGCTGCAGCCCAGCAAAAAATAAATAAAAATCTGCTCTACAAGCCTGGTGCCTCATAAAAGAGGTCAAATACATGTCTGGCTGGATGCGGCGCCGGACGGTGCAATGAAAATCCGGACTGTCTGCCCTAAAGCCGGACATCTGGGCACCCTACTGTTGTGTCACATGACCAAATAAGCTAATTTCATTGGCTAGAATCTGCTCGACTGCACTGAGTTTAGATTGCTATGGCTTGAGTTAACCAAAAGGTCACACATTTGCAGTCGAATTATTTGCAGGGGAATTTTTTGCAGCTGAATTTCTACCAGATAAAAACTCAGTGTAAGGACTTCAATATGTAAAAAAACTCAGTGTTTAAAGTGTTGGTGTACAAAAAAAGGCAGATTCCAATGAGACTGATTTTCTTCCATAAGAATAGCATTTCTCTCTCAATGTCTCCACATGAAATGTAGCATCACTGACACAGGTTGACATGAAGCATCTCTAACTTTCCTAATTAAACTCACTAAAACCCCAGTATTGATCTTTGATCTACTGGATCACAACACGTCTAATTCGCATTTTCCTTTTTTTCAATATTTTTAAAGTTTGCTTAAAATTTGCATGACAATTGGATCAGATTAGGCTAAACTCTATTTAGCGGTCTCAACTTTATCATAATTTCATTGGAATTACAAGTGGACTTTTAAAATCCAAATGAGATGTTTTTATCTCTTGGAGCAAAATAACCAATAGAAGCCAACCGTGATGTCATCATACAGGTACAATGACATTAGGCATGGCTGTAATAAGCAGGAATTACTGTGGAGTTTGCAAACCAGCATGGACCACATATCAGTAGTTGAGCAAGGTTTTAATGAATGTGTTGCCTTAAGGCAAGTTGTACTTCTTTATCAGCTTCTATTAGAGATGGTTAAACCCACCCGGAGATGTGGAGAGAGAAAAGCAATTCTAATGCTGGTATTCAGGAAGCCAGCAGAGGAAACAGCTGATCCGACATGTAAGGTAAATGTTTAGTGCATCTGAACTGATTTCTCAAACATGTTTCCATCTCCGCTTTATTGCATTTATTATTTTATAAAATATAAAAAACACCTCAAATAATTATTTAATTTATTTTTTTGTTTTATTTAGTTCATTCATTTTAATTTTGCTGTTTTTATCAAACTCTTTAATGTGCATAAGAAACTTTGATATAAACACATCTAGTCTTTTAGAAAATCACGCCTACACTTGGTAATGTTTCTTATCATAGTTTTACATCATTTCTGTGTGAGTGACCTATCTAAGTGCAGGACATACAGTTAAATATTTGCTGGTACAGAAGTCCAAAATGTATAAGTAGCTATATGATAAGCATTAACACTTTTGAGTTGGTAACTCTTTGGCTTTTAATTGATGATTGACTTATCATAAGTGGAGGCTTCCAATGAGACAGGAATTTCGATATTTTTATCATTCAGTTAATCATGGGTTTGTTGTAGCACGACTGGGAAAGATCTGTCGTAAGCACTGAAGAATCACTATTATCCCAGAGAGGCAGCTGCCCGTTTTTCATACTTCAAATCTTCTGTCTGCACCTGCCCTTCATGCTAAACAATAACATTTGAAAGCAGGTGGTTACAACACTGATCTGGTTCTTAAGGTAGGTGTACCAGCCACAAGAAAATAGAATAAGCTAGAATTTTATTGTGATATAATACAAATGGGAGATAATCACTGCAGCAGAGATTTGCAAGTGAAAAGAGAGCAGAAACACTGAATCATTCCGTAGTATTCAACTATAGTGAGAAAAGCACTCAACACTGAGTTTGAAGCAATAATAGCTGATCTTTTGGTGAATAGTTATACAATGATTTGCAAGAGCAAATTGGATGAAGGGAGATCCTGAAACAAATGTTAAGTTAGTTGCTCAGGTAAATGTTAAGTCATAGGTTACGGACCTTTTGATCCACAATCCCAGCTACTTGCAATGAAAACAAAACTTTTATCATAGTCATACTGATAACAATTACAGTAAGTCATTACATTTCTATGTAAACCTATTCATTTCTACCTATAGGTAATTATGACCTTACAAACTAAATGCTGTGACTGAAATCTTGACTTATCAGACCAGTCAACCTTTTTTCCAAACTATTATTGCCCAAAATTAGTGAGCATGTATGAATTGTAGTGTCCGTTTCCTGTTATTAGATAACTGAAGGGTAAGATTATTATGCAATTAAAAAAGTTATGGCCAGGAAAATCCCTTTGATTCTGCATTATGACACACGTATAGTTTATAGACTTAAATGTTCCTACCAATACAATGGTGTAGCATCGGTTTTATTCTGCATAGAAGATCACGTCTCACTGACACTGATCCATAAACTTAAAAAAGTATGTTTTCTTTGTGATATTAATAATAGTTAATAAAATCTTAATAAAACTTAAGGTGTGGCCAGTAAAAGCAAAACCAGTGACTCTGATAGTAACCCACTCTGAATGTGTGCTTGTGTTTCTGTTAAGTTAGATATTGATTAATCTCCATTGCTTATCTCTCACTAAGGGGATGTGTGTGGGTAGGGAGGTTTCATGTGAATTTGTAAATGGGATCTTTCATAAAAGTCCATGTGTACAAACTTTGTCCATTCAAGGACAAATTGTTTTCCATGAAAACCTGATAAAAACATCTGTTCATCTCTGTGCAAACTTTAGTCATTATTTGTGTTCAGAGAAAAATTCCATCGAGAGGCAACATGCTGATGGGTAATGCAAACTTTGGCTCGCCTTCAGTCAAACTGAGCCATGGTTGATTAGTTTATCAGCCACAAAAACAGTGCTGCTGTTAGCCTTACTGGTTGATTATTTCATAGCTGTCAAGGCTGTTGTCCAGCAGGGCAAACAGAGACATCTTAACCTGTTTGGAACAAATTTCAGAATGACTTAAGCTTCTTCCTGATGTGATGTAATAGGGGCCAGGGAATTATAACATTTTCCAGTTTGACCAAAAAAAAAATTTATCAAAAAAACCATAGAAATCTATAAGAAAAACACCTTAAAAGAAAAACACTTATGTTGTTTCATCTGGTAATGTATTAAAAACCATGACAGTGGTTTATAGATTAGATGATTAACCTAACTTCTGGGAAAACCACAGACATGACACGTTTAATATGAGTATGACCCTTCATTTGATAGAGGTGAGTCATAAAAAATATGTTTTCATGTTTTATGTTTGTGCAGTGAATCAGACCTTAGACTCCAGTAGATTTCCTGTTATTTCAATGACTCACGTGGCAACAGACTGTACTAGGACCCATTTTCTTCTTCATCTTTTTTTTTAACCACTTCTTTGTTGCTGTCATATACAGAATCCACATGATGTTGTTTCTATCAATGTCAGATAACACCCTGCTGTCCATTCAGTGATGCCATTCCTGCTGGGAAGGATTTAGTGATTAAAGCGGCAGGTGTTTTTGGTCCTCAGAGAAATAAAGACAGGAAATCATCAATGGCAACATGCAGCAATCATGGAGGAACATCCATAAAATAGATCATGGCAAGGAGAAAATGGATCAGAGCTGGAGGTTATAGGGATCCAATCTAACTGCGAATCATTACTGGCTGCAAAACTAAGGTCTTAGAGAATCTTAAAAAGCAATTTTCCCTTACTTCTATGGTTTTATTCTAAACATGCATTATGGTAGGTGGCAGAAGTATAAACATCTATTAAGGCTTTTTAGATTTGCCTCATTTTACGATTATACATTTCAAAAACCTCAAGGCATCTTAACAATATTTTAACTAGATTACACCCAATAAAGTGTAAAGCTTTGATAAAACTGTTTAGCTAATAATAAACAACTTTCCAATGAAACTTTTTTACTTTGATACTGAGATAAAATCCAGCAGCTGGAGAAGGTTAAAGCAAGTTTAGATTATAAAGTAGTAGAAGAAACGAAAGGGGTTAATGCAAAAATCAACTCATGGGGAGCTGCATGGTTCCACAGCTCAGATGGGGAATCCATTGTTCTCTCCAAAATATTAATTTCATGCAAGAAGGGCCAAAAACAAGCTCATGTTTCAAAAATGTCGTGCTCCTTCAAAAGCCATGTAGTGGAAACAACAAATATATAGAAAAAGTTGTTTTAGTTATAACTTGGAATTTTGTTCCACATTCAAAATGCAGTTTGTCATACACACCAAACACTGCTCATTTCCTTAAATTAAACAGCACCAGTGATACATGGTGGTGGCAGGGCAGGGTCCTGCTGTGGGAAGGCTATTTTTCACAGCAACGGGGAAGATGGATGGGTGCTACGTGAAGGTGGATGGATGGATGGAGAAAAAACTCCTCACGCTGTCTGACTGAGCTGATCTTAAGCTAATTTGCAAAAACAAATTAAAGTATTTCAGTTTTAAGATGTGGAGAGCTAATAGACACACCACAAAAGATTTAAAGCTTTTGTGGTATGTCGTATTTCACTGTTGTAAAAATATGCTTTGGTAATTTCTTGAATTAGGGGAACTTAATCTAAGTGCATGCCGCATTGTTTACAGAGTTTAGAGTTAAAAAAAGTCTGTGTTAATCTATCGCATAAAATTCAAATAGTGTTCTGGGTATACAGTAATGTCAAAAACATTGAAATGTGTAACTAGTTTCTCTGCAAGCCGCTGTACTTCCTAAGCTGCATGTGGTAACAGGCATACTGTACAAAACTAGCCCGCGGTCCAAAAGATCTGGCATAAAAATATGTAATGACATGGATGTTTTATATCCTGTCAAAGGAAGAATTATGAATCAAAATATGCAG